CCAACTTGACTTTTAAAAGGAAGAGCCAGGAGGTAAGGGGGGTGACCCAGCCACTCCCTGTGGGGGCAGGTGCTAAGTAACTCTATAAACTCTGGCTAATGATCCAATTACAGCCATAAATAGGGCCCCAGTAGGGATCAGGGACAGAAGCCAGACCCTCAAAGGGCAGCCAGGCTTGAGGGGTGGGAGTTCCTGCCCACTACTTCCCAGCATCCCAGAAACAGGCCTAATACTGGGCACTGGGCATCCTCATTCTACCAACCCAGGACCCTAGATGAGCTCTTGACCACAGATGACTGCAAATCATCCCAACATCAGACCTCAGAAACCTGGCTGGGTCTCCTTGGGGTCACTGATCACCAGGGGTGGGGGTGGGGGGGGATGTCACCCACCCAATCCCCCTAGACTCCTTCCTGAGACCCGGAGACTCACAGAGTTGTGCTGAGTATAAAATAGTGCAGCAGCTGTTACCAGGCCTTCTCTTCAGAGAAGCCCATTATCAGTCACCCTGAAACAACCCCTCCCTCATTAACACCCTCTGTTTCCCAAGTTCAGCAGACACAAGGGAGGCAGGCAGCAAGGAGGCTAAGTGGGCTGCTAGCCTCTACCCCTGCTCTCCACCGAGAGAAATTGAGGCATGGGAAAACCATACCAGCTGACTACTGGGCAAGGTTGCCAGGGCAGCGAGCCCTCCCCTTCCCCTGCCTCTTAAGGCTGGTGTGCTGCTCCGTTAGGAGCTCTCCCCTAGCCGAATGTGAGCTCCCTGAGGACAGGGTGCCTCTGAGAAGTTCTGATCTGAGAACATCCACATCCGGCCATCCTCGTCCCAAAGCCTCAGGCCATCGGAAGAAACTAGAGACCAGCCCCCAGTTGCCCAAGAGTACCAGGTTTGGGGGCAGGTGGAATCTCGGCAGACAGGTGCAAGGACCTAAGTCCACACCCAAGGATGCACCGGCCTTGCCCCTTGCCGCTGAACTAAGCACCTTCTCATTCGGTTCGGTGATGGAGGAAAGGGTGGTAATTAACTGACACTTCCCTCAGCGAGCTTGAAATCAAAGCACTGTGCTCAAATTAAGTCCAGAAGTTGTCCGCGCAGAACCGTCCCCAGAAGTGACAAGCCAGAGGACTCCGGCTGGGGCTGACCGGGTCGGGGAAGGGCACCCGGGTGAGGGGCTGGCGGAGAATCGAGGGCGGGTGAGCCCAGGGCCGAGCGGGCACTAGCTCAGACGAGCCCCGCCCCGGGCGCCCTCCCTTCCTCCCCCGGGCGCCGGCCGGGACGCGCCAGGCGGCTGCGGTGCGAACCTGCTCGCGCAGCCCAGAGCTACTCCGGCAGCAGTGCGTGAAGCCGGAACCCCAGATCGGGAGGGGGAGGAGGGGCAGGGGTCCGGCTGGATTCTGCCCACTCCACTCCAGGAGGCCGGTGCACTTGCTGCGGCCCATTGGCAGTCCCGATACGGGGCAGGGAGGGGCAGGGGACCAGAGAGCGCTGATTCGGGGGACAGGATAGCCTGGGGTTGGGCGGCGCGAACTCTGGGGAGAGGGAGAAGGGGGTGTGTTTTCCGGGATTCGGGACCGACGGGGGGGGGGGGGGGGGGGGGGGGGGTGAGGAAGACGACTGGCGGAGGCGGGGGATCGGGCAGGCGAGTGGCGGAGCTCGCGGGAAAGCAGAAAGTGGGACATGCGGAGGGTGCGCTCGGGAATTGAGTTCCACGAGTCACGGAGTAAGACGCGTGAGAAAAGGGCTGCGCCCAGAGAAACCTAGGGATCGGGCAGGGACTGCTTCTCCAAGCCGGAGGAAGGAACGGGAAGGGAAGGCGGGATGGTACTTACACCGGCCCCAACCCAGCCCCGGGGGCGTGGCGCCGCTGTGACCCTCCCACTGCCCGGGACCATCCAAGCTGGGCCTGGCCCGTCGGGACTCGGCCCCCGCACACCTCCCCTTCCCCGACCCCCTCCCCCGCATCACCCGGCCCGGCCGCAGGAACCACGCGTCCCTCAAACTTCTTACAAGTTCACTCCCACGCCTCCCGCCCCTTCGACTCCCGGCTCCCGGGCGGGGAAGGCCCATGCCAGTCCGGGCCCCTCCCGCCCGGTTACATAAGGTCGCAAAGAAGCCGCCCCCGGCCCAGGCTTGAAGGGAGGGGCCGGAGGGGCTCCGGGGCTCGACTGGCAGCGCTGCTCCGGCCACGCGCCGGACGTCCCGAGCGGGACGGACAGCAGACGGGTCCCGCTCCCCTCTTCAGCCGGCACCCCCACCCACCCACCTGTCTCGACCCACGGGATGGGGCCAGAGGAGTCTAGGCCGAGGGTTCCTGGCCCTCCGCGCACCCCGCGCCCCTCGGGCCCCCTCACCTCGCTCTGAAGGTCAATCTGTCCGCCGCCCGCGCCCCGCGGCGCCGACAACTTGTCCAAGTTCAGGTGCCCGGTCTACGAACTGTGCCCGCTGCTCGCTCCCAGGTTCCTCCGACTCCGCGCCACCGGGTGGCCAGCCCCGTCCGCCCTTCCCGCCACCGCCGCCGTCGCCGATCCCTGCGTCTCGCCCGTGGCCGCCGCCTTCGCTGTCACCGAGCCCCACGCCCGGGCTGTCACTAAGCGCCCACTTCCCGCCGCGCCGGCAGAGGGCAGCACCCGCCCCCGCGGCTCCGCCCCGCCCCGCCCCGCTGGCCTGCCGCAGAGCCCGCTGAGCCCGCTGGGAAGCGTAGTCCTCGGTTGCTGCCCGGTTAAGGACGCCGGGATTTGTAGTCTCCCTTTTAGATTTTCGTTCTGCAGAACCTTGGCGTTTGACTTGGAACCGTCTTGTAACTTCGTTTCTATCCCGTTTCTATCCCTCTTCTTTTTCCTCTCAGTCAGTGATGTACCGAACCTGAATTCTCTGCGATGCACCATGTGGCCTATTTGTCCTCAAAGTTGTTGTTGTTAAGTGCCTTCCAGCCGGTTCCGACCCATAGCGGCCCTGTACAGGGTTTCCGAGGCTGTAAATCTTTACGGGAGCAGAAAACCTCATCTTTCTCCCGTGGAGCGGTTGGTAGTTTCGAACTGTTGACCTTAAGGATCGCAGCCCGATTCGTAACCACTGCGCTACCAGAGCTCATTTGTCCTCAAAGAGCGGCCTGTAAAAAGCTATCTTTCCAGCAGTTTAGGAAAAATGTGGAGTCTTGAATAGTGTGAGTTGCCATAGAAACTCCTTTGTGGCAAACCCCAGTTTGGAGTAAGTCATGTTTTGCCTCCAGCCTCCTGAGCAGGAAGAGCAAGGTTGGGATCAGCCTGGTAAACCCAAACGAAACCCGTGGCCACCGACTGAAGACTATAGGACAGAGTAGAAATGCCCCCAGTCCTGCTACATCATTTTCTAGTGGAAGCAGACTGCCATCTTTGTCCTATAAAGAGACTGGTGGGATCAAACCTCCCACCATTCGGTTAGAGGCCTATATCCCTTAACCACGGGTTTCTAGCTTGGAGAAGGATAGGGTGAAATGTGACTCTACTATGGTGTCCCCCAGCCCTCCTAATCCTCATGAGTCTGAACTTGCTGGTAGCCCACCCAACCCTATGTTATTGCAGGGAAATTTTCTCATCTCCTTTCACGTCACCTTAGCCTTCTAGAAGTCACAGAGCACTAGACTATCATTGTTATCTTGCTTCCTCCTCTTCCACACTAGAATTCTGGGTCTTTTACTAGAAGGTCCCTAAGGAGAACAGAGATGCAGGCCAGAGGGGCGTGACGCCTTGATAAATTGGTCAGAACAAGTGAGCTGCTGGATTTCCCTGTGATTTAAGTAGCAATCCCTCTTGCCCACAGTTGAGGACCAGCCCTCCTTTAAATATAGGTGCTGAGACAGGAGTCTTGAGTGAAAATATCATCAGCTCTACTCTACTCAGCTCCACCCTTCTGAAGCTCTGCTGGAAGTAGACTCTGGCAGCATCAGCCTCCTCCCTAAAGGATCATGTGACTGTTACCAATATTGCAAATACTGCCTGTCACTGTAGGAACAGCACTGGACTGCTAACCACAAGCTAGCTCAGTGGTTCAAGGAGCACCAGCTGTTCCTTGGAAACCCTATACAGGGTCACTATGAGTTGGAACTGACTCCACGGCACTTAATAACAACAACAAACTTGATTAAAAGATGAGGGAACTCAGGCCTGAAGTTAGAATGTGCCAGACCCCTAGTCACACTGCTAGTGGACAGGTATGTGGGTCCCAAGATATCACTAGGATGAGTTTTGGTGGTGGTGGTAGTATTGTCATTAGGTGCCATGGAATTGATTTCCCATTCAGCAACCCCATGTGACAAAGTAGAACCTGCCCCATAGGATTTTCTAGGCCTAGTGTGGCACTATAGGATAAGTGTCGGACAAGGTCACTTTGAAATACAAAATCAGCAGTTTAAACTCTCCAGTCGCTACTCAGAAACCCTATACAGGGTGGCTATGAGTCAGAAATGACTCAACGACACTTAACAACCTTTACAGGAGGAGATTGTTGGGTCTGTCTCCCGTGGAGTCGCTATACGGGTTCAAACCACCAATCTATCTGCTAGCAGCCAAGCGCTTGACAGTTAACCTGGGCTCTGTGTTCTGGTGTTATTTTGGTAAATGAGGTCAGCTGGGCACTTCAGGTTGTTACAATTGTGTACCTTTTGTGGCAGTCACTACTACCTCTTCTGTCTCCAAAGGGAAGCTGTGAACAGACTTCAAGCTCTGAGGGGTGGTGGGTCCATAACAAATCCTATTTATGCCCCATTCCTCTTAGAGCTTCAGTGACCCACCAAGAAACCTTACAGTCTCTCACGGAGAATGTGGTCTATCAGAGGCAAATCTGTCCCTGTCCCTCACTGTCCCCATTCCCCAAGAGCACACCACATCCCTCCTCCAAAAACAACAGACTGGCTAACATGAAGAACTATTTATTGTTAGAGAAAGTCCAGTCTGAAAAAGGAAGGCTGAATCGCGGGGGGTGGGGGGGAGAGCAGAAGAAGAAGGGAGTCCAGGTAGTGAGTCTAGGCGGCAGTGGCGAAGCCCACCCTGTTGTTGCCCATGTCGTAGACAGAGTAGTAGGACCTGAGGAAGACGTCCCCGAGGATCCACAAAGGTTGGCCGTTCTGGGAAGGCAGGTAGGTGGGTTCGACGCCCACGGTGCAGTAGCCGTTATTCTGCCCAACAGAGAAGGACAGCACTCATTCACTGTGTCCCGTGGCTGGGCTCTGAGCCCCAGGTCAGGGCACAGATGCAGGGATGAGTGAGTCAGGGACTCACAGATCAACTGAGCCACCTAGCAGGGGCTGGTTGGAGGGAGTTCTGGAATGGGTGAATGTGGGCTACAGTGGCCTTCTGCCGGGCTCCCTCTCGTTGTGATGGGAGTCTTCTCTCCCAGGCCTCCCTCCCAGAGCAGGGCTGCCTCATGGTAAGTCTGGGAGGCAGGCCTAGGTGAATGCAAGCCTCAGCTTCACCTGACTAGCTATTCAACCTGAAGTCAGTTACTTAAACCTCTCAGAAGCTATACATTTGCCTTTGTAAAAAAAAAAAAAAAAAAAAAAAAAATCACTATCTCCCTTGTCGAATGTTATGAGCATCAAATGGAATAGTGTAGGCAAAGGGCTTCTTCACACAGTAATTAGTTCCTAGAGCCTAGTGTCTATCACCACTAATTCCTACTAATAACTAATAAGATAGAATACATATCATGTTCACTTTCTACTGTCTCTTCTAAAGAAGGGGGTTTTAAATCAATTTGGGGGGGATTAGGTTAAACCAAGGAACTTTCAAGGAGTTGTCAAGAAATAATACAAGGTAGGGAGGCTGAGCATTTCTGGTTCCCCGTCCCTTCCTCCCCTGACCCCTCGAGTGCCCCTGCTGGCTCAACCTGCAAGAAGGGGCCAAGACTCACGTTGAGGATGTAAGAGGAAGGTGGCAGAGGGAACTGCACACCATTAATGGTGAAGGTGAAGGTGGGCAGGTTCTGGATGTTGTTACAGTTCACGACAAACTGCAGAGAGGAACAGGAACCAAGTTAGCTCATTCCCTCCCCCCCACACCTGAGATTACTCCTCTGGTATCCCAGAGCTGAGCCCCAAGACCTGTTTTTGAAATAGAAGGTGCAGCACCAAGGGAAAGTCCTGTAAATAGTGCAGACAGTATACATGTGGAAGCCCAGGCAGTGGGAAGGAGTCTAGGAAACCTGAGCATCTCCCCGACTGTGAACACATTGCTTTTGTCTGAATTTTCTGCACGAGAGAGCAACTCTTTCTGCCCTTTCTATGCAAGACTCCTTTGATGTATGCAAATCTGTGGGAAGCATGGCCATGAGTCTTCCGAAGTTAGTGGGAATGTGTTAGTTAGGCAAACCCTTTGGGAGGCACAGAAGGCAGAGGCAACGGGGCTCTACAGGGGTGAGGAAGGTAAGGAATGAAAGGCTAGCCCCTTGTTGCTCACTTACTTGGCCCCACAATTTAATTCTCTTGTTCTTATCCCAAAGCCCAGCAAGTATTTTGTCTGTTTCCTCTGAGTGACTATAGCTCAGAAGAAATTCTTGCCTAATTGTAACCTCCACAAGACCCCTCAGCACAAATCTCTGGTCCCACTGGAATCAGCCTCCAGCCCTGCACCCACCTCAGTTTTCCCAGGTCCCCACACACTCTCCAGTGTCTTGAAGTAGCTAGGGGTATGGAAGCCAAGAAGTCATTTATTCCTATGCTGTCTGAAGAAACTCCAGTTTCTCCTGAGGACGGTGACACCGCTCTCAAACCCACCTCTCCATACTGGTCCTGCTGGGCCCCGGTGGCCTGTAGAAGGGCGCTCATGTACTGCTGGGGCACGGTGAGCAGAGAGGTTCCTGTGTCCACAATGGCCTGGCAACCTTGGGAGCACCAGCCGGAGGCCTGGCCGCCAATGAGGAACCTGAATGATGAGGAGGAGACAGGCCTTAGCACCTCACCAGCTCAGGGTAGATGAGGAGCAGACAGCTGCTACCACTGAATCACGGTGTACCTCAGGAAGGCAGGCATTCTGCACCATCTATCTAGCCATTCCAACTTGACTCACATCATACCAGAGTCTACCCAAGGCCACTGAAATGGTCATAGGGTTCTCTTTCTAAAAAGTTACAAGGAACATTCTAGAAACCTCAGAAGCAGTGCCACTGATTGACTGTATGTGTGTGGAACCAAGTAGTCCCTCAACACATTCCAATTTCCAATCCGTAAACCCACGGCGTTGGACTATAGGGTCTCTAGCATTAGGAATTGGAGTCCTCCCATCCCTATGTTGTCCCCATCCCACCTCTCTTCTCAGGTTGAGTTGCGCTTTGACACTTCAGCAAAGGACAGTGGGGGCAGGCTGGAGCATATTAGAGGTCCTCTGCTCCCCACCCAGCATTGCCTGCATGTGTGTTTGGCACAAGGTGCCTCAAAGTCTGCTCCGAGGAAGTGCCCATGTCCCCAGAGCCCACCACAGACTTACTCCTCAATGCCAATCTGCCAGTAGAGTTCCTGGGTGACAGGGGCCCAGTAGATCTGGCCTGTGTACAGGCTGTTGTCCACACCCCCGAAGACAACGGCTCCTCCATCCTGAGAGCTTTGCTGGCTGCAGGAGATAGAAGGAAGGATGGGTCAGCAAGTAGCCCTGGGAAAGGCTTCCCCTGCCTGGCAGAGCAAAGCAGAGTGAAACAGCACTCAGGCCCTGGCTCTGAGTCTCTGAATGCTGCAGATAATTAAAGAAAAAATCGACTCCACAGCACCAAACAATAACAAAAATCGCAGCTGCTAACCTAAAGTTTGGAGGTTTGGGATCACTCTGAGCCATCTCAGAAGAGAGGACAGGAAATCTACTTCTGAAACACCAGTCACTGAAAATCCTATGAAACACACTTCTGCTATGAGTGACTCAGAGTCGCGGACCCTGGCACCAGATCTAGATTATGTCATCTCTCCCTCAGAGGGGTGCCCTCCTCTGGTTTCTCTGGATCCCCAGTGCCTCAGGCTACCAAATGATGCTGCCCTCCCAGTCCTGCCTCTGACGGAGCCTCGCATCCTGCTGGAGTCCCAGCATTCCCTGCCTCCCACATCCTGCCCTTGGTGGAACATGTCACCTGGAGCCCCATCCGGGACCCCACTTGTTACTTTTTTTCTGGGATCTGTAAGGAGGTAGGGCCTTGATGGAGGAGAGAAAGGGACCTTCTGAGTGTTTTGGTTTTGGGTTTTTGTTTTGTTTTTAGATCTTCCCTGATAGGGGCATCTGGCTGTGGAACTGGGCAGAGCTTCTAAAGGCTACACTCAGAGTCATGGTAAACAGAAGCAAAGTAAGTCAGTAAGTTTAGTGACAGGGTAACGTTGTAGAAAGTCGCATTCAAGTGATTGAGCCTCTGATGGAAAACCTATCGCAACAGAGTCGATTCTGACTCACAGTGACTGAAACCCTATATAGGATTTCCATGGCTGTAAATCTTTCCAAGAGCAGAAAACCTCCTCTTTCTCCTACAGCCAGCCTGGTAGGTTTGAACTGCAGTCCAATGCCAGCAGAGCTAGTAGGAGTTAAAGGAGCTCCTTGTACAACATTTAGACACTTGGCTGCTAACTGAAAGTTTGGTGGCTTGAACCCATCCAGTGGTTCTGCAGAATAAAGACTTGGCAGTCTGCTCCTATAAAGATTACAGCCTGGAAAAAAAAATTTTACAGTCTAGGAAATTCTATGGGACAGTTCTCCTTTGTCACATGGGGTCACCATGAGTTAAAAGTCGACTCCACAGCACCAAACAATAACAAAAATAATAGACACTAACTGTATCTTAAGGAGCTCTAGTAGCGTAGTGGTTATGAATTGGGCTGCTAATCTCACAGTCAGCAGTTTGAAACTACCAGCTGTTCCACGGGAGAAAGATGAGGCTTTTGCTCCCATGAAGATTTACAGCCTCAGAAACCCTGTACAGGGTCGCTGTGAGTTGGAACCAACTCTATGGCACATAACAACAACAACAACTGTATCTTAGAGATAGTTGGCTAACCCTGGGAGAAGGAAAATCAGTTTCTGGCTGCTCATCCCCTCCAGCGGCTCAGGCTCACAGCCCATTGGCACTAAAGTACTTGTGTTTGTATTTGCTGGTGATAATTCTTTAGGAGTTAATTGTGGACCTAGACCAGAAGACTCCAGGGCCTGGCTAGAACAATAGATCAAAGGAGATGAAGCAATAGATTATTATACAAAAGAGGTATGCAGGTAGAAAACATTTGGACAGAAGGAAATGAGCTAACTGGGGCCCTGGACAGGAGGGAAATCAGTTGGAAAGAGCGAGATTTTGTCCAGGCCAAGTGGGAGTAGACTGGAGATGGGCCCAGAGAGGCAGGGAGGGGCAGTGGGAGCCCAGAGCGAAGGCACTGGGAGGCCTTCATTGTCCAGGGTGGTAGGAGGAGTGGACTGAGCTGGGAACTGGGGACAGGCTGGTGGCTGCTCACTTGCTGAGGTAGAAGCTGAAGATGGGGCTGGTGAGGTCATTATTCTGCAGCATGCCCTGCAGGGCTGTGGTGGCACTGCCCATGGACAGAGCAGGGTAGGCCATGCCCATGATGCCATCGAACTTTGCATAGATGAAGTTGGTACCCGGCTCATTCTCACTCAGGCCAAACTCCTGGTTGGGGACCTGGATGCTCTGGACCTGGAATGGGCAGAGAGGTGGGGAGGTGACAAAGCTGACTCCACCCACCTCCTCGGGCTTCTCAGGGTGCCCCCCCACCCCCCAGGCTCCATTCTTCATCCGCTCTCCTCTGCTCTTCTTTCTGACAAGTCTAGCAAGAGTTGCCTTCTTTTCTAAGCAACAGCATCACCACCACTACCACCTCCATCCCCTTCCTCGCTGAACCCCCCAAGCCCTAAACTCTTTAAAGGATAAAGACCCAGACTGTTCGTCTGGTGTTCCCAGCAGGATGCATGATGGCTCAGTGAGAATTCGGTGAGTACATGAATGGGCCTCTCATATTAATTTCTTGTTGAGTTTTTCTGTCAATTTTCAGGTCTCCATGCAAGTCTCCTAAGACTCTGCTGTCCTGCTTAGAACCCAGTCCCAGCTCCAGGCTGCATTCCCAACATCCCGGGGTGGGAGGAGTGTCCACTCACAGTCAGGGTGTCATAGCCGAAGAAGCCAGTGAGGCTGCCACTGCCGTACTGCAAGGAAAAGGTCTGCCCATTGGTGGAGTAGGTGGATGACTGGCTGGGGTTGAATCGGGAGTGGCTGGCTGCAGGGGTAGGGAGAGAAGACAATATGGGAAGGTCAGACTGGTAAGTGGAAGGTTTCCCATCTCTGCTTCTTGGCTTTTGCTCACATTGTGGGGCCTCACTGAGTCAGGAAGTGGTCCACCTAGGCTCCCTTCATTGGAAGGCCTAGGGGAGGTGACCGGCCTTTGGCCTCAGAGTACACTCACTCTGGCTTACGGAGTCTTGGGCTGTGACCTCCTTGTGGGCGGGGTTAGAGAGACTCCATTTTCATATCCCTGAGCCCCAGCAGAGGGCCTGGCACACAGCAGATGCCAAATAATTACTCATCAGATGAAGGAATGAATGAACTTCTGGGCCCACTCAGCATTTCCCTAGTCCTCTCCCTAAGCTAGCAATGAAGAACCCCTGGGATCAAAGGCACCAGGATCCAAGCCTCAGGATTTAGAAGAGACCAACTTAACTTTAAGGATCTGAACATCACCTGGCTCCCAATATGACTACAGAACAGAACCTATATTTTTCTCTCATATCCCTTGGAGACACTAATCAAGAAGTTAGAAGATAGAGTGGCTTGGAGTAGAATGTCGTAGGGTTGAGTGAGATGGAAAGTGGCATGGACTAGGGTTGCTAGAGTGAACAGAATGGAGATGGGGCATACAATGGAATGCACTAGGATGAATGGGGTGGAGTAAATCAAGTGATACGCTCTGGCGAGCAAAGCAGGTAAAGGGCACCCAGCTACAAGGCAGAACCTCTTTCCTCTGACTCATGCATACCATATGACCTTGGACAAGTCCCTGGCTTTCTCCAGGGCTGACACTCCCCCCAGCAACCCTTCATGATGTTGGTCCTGTCCCCACAGTGTGTCCGTCCCCTACCCCACCTGCCACCCCTAGGACAGGGGTTCAGCCCAGCACTCACTACAAGCCTGGCTCTGACAGTAGACAGAGGGCACCCACAGGTTGGAGGAGCCAGTGTCAAAGAGGACCAGGAAGTTCTGGGGTGGGGTCCCGATGCTGATCTCTCCAAAGTAGGCAGCCTGGAAGAGGAAGAGATAGGTAGGCTGTTAACTCTGAATGGAATGGATCCAAGGAAGCATAGGACCCAGGCTTCTCCATGGGCACAGCAGAGAGGGGACCAGCCAGAACAGGGGCCTAAGCCTTCCCTCCACCCCTGATCCTTAGTCCCTGCCTGCCCAGGACCACTGCAAAGGTCTCTGCTGATGGACCAGCACGTGCCCTCTCCATGCTGTGCTCTAATAATCCACCCCAGAAATCAGGCCACAGGGGCAATGTGGGGCACTCAGGAGGGATGCTGCCCACTGTACAGGTCTGGCCCCTAACCTCTGGCAGCAGGGAGAGGGTGGGAACTCACATCCATGTAGGCCATGGGCTCGTAGGCCACACTGAAGGCGTTGTATTTCTGAGCTGGATCATATTTGTGGTTCTTCAGGAACTCCTCCAGTAAGCCCTTCTCCTTCATGACATCACGGATGGACTTCATTTTCTTCAGGGGGACTCTACAGAGGAACTGAATGTCAGGTAGGGCCTATGTTCCTTCCTCAGCACCTCTAAGAGCCCCAGCCTCTTCTCTGTCTCTCCATCTCTCTGTTGATCTGTCTCCCTATGTCTGCACTGTGTGTGTCTGTGTCTCTTTCTTTATCTCTCTGTCTCTAGCTATCTCTTCTCCCCTTCTTCTTCTCCTCCCCTTCTCCTTCTCTTTCAAACCCAATCTAAAGACTTGCTCTGTGATTCAAAACCATTATTTCCACCCATGCTTGCCCCAGAACCCTAGGTTAAACATTCAGCTGCTAAACACAAGCTCAGCAATTCAAGAGAAAGATGATGCCCTCTGCCCCCTTAAAGATTCACAGTCTCGAATTCACCAGGGAGCAGCTTCGCTTTGCCCAAAGGAATCAGAATTCCTTCGATGTTAGAGGTACACCCCACCCCATCTCCAAGAGCTTCCTAGCACTGGTCTCAAATAGCCCATAAATGCCTTCCCTGGAAGGAGAGAGAAATTGTCTTCAGAATATATGTGCATTTTTCTAAAAGGGTTTTAGAGATGGCAACGTACACCCCAAAGAGAGTCTCCTCTTATGGTAGGTCCTGGGCACCTAATTTCTAATTCTGCCTCTGCCATTACTCCTATGATCTGGGGCTGACTACTGCTCTTCTCAGCCTTTAGTCTAGATCAGCTCTTGAGTTGGGATTTGTGAAGTACGGGCTTCCGCCATGTCACCGCACACACGGCCTTCCCCACTCAGGTGTCCTTCTAGATCTGCTTGCTGTCCTCGCCTAGGATCTCTGCAAGTCCACCTAGACCTGCTTCAGGCTTAAGGGCTCCTGCTCCATTCGCTCGTTCTCCATCTCTCATTGCTTCAGGTCCTGAAATTCTCCAGTAAACTCACTCATCCTAAAATGTGAGGACTGATAGCAGTGCAATGCTAACCACTGCTACAGAATTTACACATATAAAAGAAGTGCCATAGAAGAGTTAGCCCTTAACCTCAGGGATGATCCTTATTGGTAGAATAGCAGGCAGCGTAGTGCCCTGTGAGTCCTGTCTGTCATTCCACCAGACTTGGCGACCTCACTCCCTTTCTCTTGACACCTCACACAGACTAGTGTTGCTGCTAAGCAGGGATTGCCTGGTGGTCTAGAGGGCTGCTCTGAGGGAGAAGGGTGAGGCTTTCTGCTCCCATAAAGACCTACAGCCTCAGAAACCTTATACAGGGTTGCTGGGAGCTGGAACCTACTGAACAGCATCCAGCAATGACAGCAATATTGCTGGTTAAAAGCTTTGGAGATCTGCCGGAGTGGCCAATTAATTTGGGCCCCTAGGGAGTCCCTGGTTAGGCACTATTAACCAAAAAATTGGTGGTTCAAACCCACCTAGAGGTACCTAGGAAGATAAGCCTGGCATCTGCTTCCAAAGAATCAGCCATTGAAAACCCTGTGAAGCAGTTCTACTCTGGCACACGTGGGGTCAGTGTGAGCTGGAATCAACTCGACAGCAGCTGGATAGGGAGTTAGAGTTCAAGAACATCTTGTGAAAGTACTTCTATATCCAGAAATAAATCCGTGGGAAGAAGTCACAGCCACCAATCAGGTGCAGATGGCTGACACCCAGAGGGCTACACAGCTCTCAGTTTGGGTCCATCTTTTCTCCTCAGATGGGGAAAGGCCTGTGCCTCTTCCTTTGACTGGAGGTTTCTTCAGGGCAGGACCTGTGTCTCCTCTCATCTGAATCCCCTCTAACACTAGCAAAGAGAGGAATTCCAGTGTGGAGAGAGATGCAGTGTTCCCTGGCCGAGCTGCCCTGCACCAGTCAGGACCCAGACTCACCTGACTACCGATGCCTCCAAGACCTGGAGGCAGACCAGGACTGCCAAGATACACTTCATGATGCCGTCTCCCAGCTTGCTACCGAGGAAAAATCACACCAAGTCCTGCAATGGCACTGGAGTGACAGCCTGAGCAGCCCTCTTCCTTTATACTCCAGGGACTCACCCAGTCCCCCCTGTCTCCTTGCCCTGAGCAAACATGGCTGCAACCCCAATGTACCCTGTGCTGTATACAGTCATTGTTCTTGTATGTTTTTCCACATACATTTCATCTTATTGACATTTTCATACAAGCAGTAGAGGCCAGAGGGTGCAAGTGATAAGAAAGAACAAAGTTGCCGTCAGATGGAATGGCAGGGATTACTTTTTTGTCCTAAAACCAGAAGTGTGATGTAGGCATCTTTCGAATGAGGACTGGAGAAAACTAGAACCAGGGTGAGGGATACAAGATCTATAGGTAGGATTTCTCCACCTCAACACTATTGACATTTCAGGCTGGATAATTCTTTGTTGTAAGTACTGTCCTGTGTATTATAGAATATTGAGCAGCATCCCTGGCTTCTACCCACTAGATACCAGCAGCAATCAAAAATGCCTGCAGACATTACCAAATGTTCTTTGGTGTGACATCACCAAGAATCTCTGGAAGTCTGGCTCAGGGACGGGTTCCCAGCACCCCAAGCCCACCAATGGGGGAAGGAGTTAGAGAGTCCGAGGAAAGATGACGGTGGTGAGGGTGGTGCTGATGGTGACAGTTATGGTAATGTTGGGAGTGCTGATGCTGGTGGTGAGGCTGAGACACCAGTGACTGAAGTCATGGCCATTTGGGGCAGCTTCAGAGGTTTTCGAGGTCAAATAGGGCATTTGGAGAAATTCTCATCATCATTTCTTTATTAAGCAAGTATCAGGACATACTGACAGTATGAACTACACTGGCTTCTGGCTGTGCCTTGTGTATCAGACTGGAACAACCAGGTGCCTGGGGCAGGGACGAGAGAAGATGGGACATTGCCACTCCTTGCTGTTCATTGTCCTGCCCTTCTCCTGCCCCATGATCTCTACCAGAAGCCATAATGACTCATGTGTGTCAGAGTAGAACTGCGCTTTATAGGGTTTTCAGTGGCTGATTTGGGGGACAGAGATTGCCAGACCTTTCTTCCAATGCACCTCTGGGTGGAATTAAACCTCCACCCTTAAAGTTAGCCAAACATAACTGTTTGTACCACTCAAGGGCTCCTCTTGCACTATGTTGTTGTGTTGTTATGTGCCGTGAAGTCAGTTCTGACTCATAGCGACCCTGTACAGGGTTTCTGTACTGTAAATCTTTACGGGAGCAGAAAGCCTCATCTTTCTCCCACGGAATAGCTGGTGGTTTCAAATTGCTGACCGTGAGATTAGCAGTCCAATTCATAACCGCTATGCTGCCAGAGCTCCTTCTCTTGCACTATACCAGGCAGCAATCTGTACTGTCCATAACCTTTCATTCATCAATTTCCCAAAGCAGATCCCCAGGCCTTGCTTATGAGACATCTCTGGGTGGACTCAAACCACCAGCCTTTTGATTAGCAACTGAGCATGTTAATGATTGCATCACCTAGGGACTCCACTGGCGTCCTGGTATGATGCTCTAGGATAAAGCCCTGGACTACAAACTCAGTTTGAACCTCAAGTTTGTCACTTCAAACTAATCAGCTGTTCCTTGGAAACCCTACACAGGGTCACTATGAGCTGAAACCAACTCAACAGCCCTTAACAACAACAGAGACTCCATTGTCTCTTTTAAAAACCAAGTCCAAGTCCGATGCTGTCAAGTTCATTCCAGCTCCTGTCCACTTCATTTGTTACAGAGTAGAACCGCTCTAGGATTTTCTCAGCTGTAATCTTTACAGAATCAGACAGCCAGATCTTTCTTCTGCAGTGCCACTGGGTGGGTTTGAACTGCTGATCTTTAGGTTACCAGTTGTTGTTATTAAGTAAATCTACTTATGGACCGCCATTGTTTCTGGTTCTACGTAAATACCTGTGTTTCCCATTTTTCTCCGCTCAAAGCTTTGTCTGTCCTTTTTTCTGCCCTGAAGTCTGACTGATCCTGTCCCTCATCCCTAATCTCCAAGTGTCCCCCTTTCCTCTCCTGCTTACCAGCTATCATTGCCTAAGGTGGCCAGAGTTGACCTACTGCCTGCTAACCTGGCAAGGGAGAGTTCTCCATTTCAGGGTGAGTGGAAAAAGTCCCCCATGCCAACACCCTCTCTGCCACCTCCTGCCCGGCACACAGGGCTTCAAACACATTTGTCAGGCCCTTGGCCCCCAGGTGAAAGGCCAGGGCAAGGCCTGCCAACACTGAGATAAATCTAGCCAGTGGGGGATTTTCCACTCTGGCCACAGCTAACCACTGCCCAGCCACAGTCCTGGAGCCTCCCCCAGTTCTGTGGTGGATAGGGAAAGGGGACTCAAGCTCTGTCGGGACCTGGCACAGAGAGGGAGGTTCCTGCTTGGTTGTAGCTCAAAGCCAAGTCAATTTTCACACTCCCCTGCAGTCACCAAGGGTATGTTGTTTTCCCTGGGGTAGAGAGGGGATGCTCAGATTTGGAAAAACAAGCCAAAAGAATGTATAGGCTCCTTGTCACATGGTATGAGTATAATAGGATGGCATGGGATCCCATACGTCTTGTGAGACCTACCAGACTTGCAGCATTCACCTCCAGGAATCCTTTCCTCAACTGGTAGAACCCAAGACACAGCTCGGCTAGCTTTCCCTAATCCTCAGTTTGTACCACATCTCTCTGAGCATCCCTGTCCCACGACCCAGCTTATGATACTTATTTCATAACATCTTATATCTCAGTCACTTGCCCCGAATCCTACAGCTTATAATCAAAGCAAGATTCTCTTCTTGCCTGTGACTTCTTAAACAGCACATTCATCTTGCTGAGGGTCTGCAAGTATGATGCTGGGAGCACACCCACAACCACTGCCCACCCTTCACCCACAGCAGACAATTGTCACTCTTCCCCATGGTGCTCAGACATGGTCTTAGAATCCTTCTCCATCTAATGCTCCATGTGGCCATTCTCAGTTGAGCATGCAATGACAATCCCAAGCCCTTTAATGCCATTTTGTTTTATTTTTAATTCTGGATACCAGATCTCTTTTTAAATTCTGCCAGTTACCATTCTATCTTCTAGCTCATTTGGTACACACTTAGATTTTAACAGCTGCAATCAGTGTGTAAATGTTCTGCTTTTGTCACTTAGGATTATTGCCTGGACACATTTCCCTGGAGTGAGATAGGCCACATTCTTATCAATCTCAGTGGCTATAAAGTGCTCTCTCATCTTGATAGCTAGGATTACATAACCCTATTCATTTGAGTGATTTCCAGTTTCCCCTGCTATCAGTAGCACTTACACTCGCAAACCCAAAATCTTCCAAAGGAGTGAGCTCCCCATTATCAAGTGCTCCAGTAGAGCTGAAAGGAGCTTCCTTGGGGGGATACTGGTGGAGGAACCACCTGCAATGGATGTGAAATTGGATCAGGAATCCAAGTTACCTCTTTGTAAATAAGTTCACAAATCTCAAAGACTGCATCTCAACCCTGGGACAAGTATTTACTAAACCTTAAGTCTTTGACAGCTGTCTGCATGAATTTTAGTTACAGCTACTGTTTTGATTGTAGAGTTTTTCATTGTTTTCCCTGTTTTTTATATTTACACTATTATTTCAACTAAATCCATTGGGGGCATATTGGACTGGAGTTGGTTTATTTTCTCTCAAGTTCAAGGATTTAATCTCTCTCTTTTTATTTATATATATATATTGGACATGCAAAAATAACATAGAGAAACAGAGAGTCAGAGAGTTCCATCTCCCTTTCATTCAGTGTCCCCTAATGGTAAACCAAAGTTAAAACCATTGACTTCCGGCAAGATGGCAGACTAAGCAGACACACTACTTAGACCCTCTACAACAAAGATATGAGAAACCAAATGAAACAAACACAGGTGGCAATCCTGGAACCCTGAACTGCAGAGGAAAGGTTAGAGAACTTGCCTGAATGCATGCTGGGAGGAGAAGCTGAGCAGGACAGAGAGAGAGGGAGACAAACTGGTGAATGGCTGGCCAGAGCGCACGACCATCTTAGGAGCAGTTTCGGCAACAGAAGGTGTCCTGCCAGAGCAGATTCACACACGACACAGGAAAGGTGTGATTCCTTCTTTTTCTCCATGTTCCCTTGATGACTAGAGGTGTGGTCACCTCCCAGCTTCATCCACTTCCAGCTCAGACCATAGTCTCCAAAAGTCATGCCAGTGTGAGGCAGGGGCCAGCTGTGCCACTTCAGTGCTCCGCTTTGGTGTCTGGATTCAGGCAAGCTGGGCTCCAGACCTACAGACCCCTCAGAGCCACCAGTCCAGCATTTAACCAGTTACCCTGCTCCTAGCTGCCTTTGTAGTCCTAACAGACACTGAAACCAGCTCTGTCGAGGGCCTGCATGAACTACATCCAGATTGAGGCCAATAGGAACTCCATCTAGGGCCAGGAACGCTGCTCTCACATCCTTCCCAAACCCATCTCTTGAGCTCCATGGCTTGCAGGAGCTTCCCAGAGTTTTCTCCACTCTGGGACCAACAGTTGCACTGATTTGCTTCATTTTGTTTTGTTTTGTTGGTTTTTTTCTTTCCTTGTTTCATCATTTTTGTTTATTGTTTCTCCTCCTTCTCTTTCCATTCTCTTGAATTGTATCCTTTCTATCTCTGCTGTTGTCCTTTTTTTCTTCTGTTTCTCATTTCCCCTCTTCTTTTTATTCCTCTTTTGATCTCTCTTTACTATTCTCTACTCTCTTTTTCTTTTTATCTTCCCTCTCCCTGGTTTATCTAAGTGTTGTTGTTTTTTTCACCTTCTTCTTCCTTTTATTTCCTCTCTTATTTCCCTCTTCTGAAGCTCCACTTTTTTCTCTCTCTCTTCTCTTTTTCAGTTATTGTTGTTGTTCAGTGACGGCGAGTCGGTTCTGACCCATAGTGACCCTATATAGGGTTTCCAAGGAGCAGCTGGTGAGCTTGAAC